TGAACTGTAGGTGATATTACAGATTTCATATACATCTGGCTAATTATCTTATTTTACAAGCAAAACACTACAAGAATTGCATTGTTTAACTGCAAGAATCTGTGGGCTTTAAACCAAGTGTAGCAATGTGGCAACCACCCACATAGCGCACCGTCCTGATAAATGCTAAACTCAAAGCTGGTGAATCATTGTGCACTGACTAAACGCCTAACAGATGGGATGGGGGTGGGGGATACTTTAACCTACCTTTGCTCTTGAATGATACAATTAGAGGACCAATGATTTCATCATTACAAAATCAAATACTTATACTTTAATTTTAAATTCTAAATTTGTTTCCTAATCTGAAGCAGGTGAGGAATCTAATGTTATATATTTTTTCTTTATTGCTTTTTCCTATCGGGGAGAGGGAACTACAAAACCAGAGCCCAGAGAGCAGATAAAATCATCTAAATAAAGCAATATATCACAGTAAATCAGAGATGGCCAAATGATTAACCCCAAAAGTTATTAAAAAATAACCGTACCTTCTGTGATCCTTTGCCAAAGGGTGACAGGGGTCACAGTTCTCTAACAGCTGGACGCTACCTTTACACCAGGCTTCAAGTAAATAATAACAGATTGGATTCTTATTAGCTAGACACGGTGGAGAGGTGAATTGTTGCTGCTAGAATATAAAATAAAAAGATGTACATTTAAATTTGTTTGTGCCAGTCAATACAAAACCAAAAATGTTACCTGCTCACTGTCCCAAAGCCCAATGTACATTTACATAACAGACTACTGCAATAGTCATTATATTGTACAGCGCTGCAGAATATGTTGGTGCTATGCAAATGTCAATAATAATAATAATTTTATTAATAATAATAAAAAGTGTAAGCTGATCTGCCAACTCTTAGGTAAGTCTTACATAAACAATTCACCTTTCTGCTCAGAGCCCATCTGGGACCCAGGGTCAGAAAAGGGCTCAGTGACAATTATATAGCACCAACATGTGCTGCAGTGCTGCACAATTATAGGGACGGAGGATTTTGACGTAAAGATGGCCCTCCTCAAACAAGCTTACAATGATTCCAATATATGAGGATTTGAGTTAGGCAGATGTACACCAGGTCAGCATACCAGTGCACTTTACAGAGAATTGTTAGGTTTAGATTATTTTTGTCCATATTCCTGATCTAGTGGGAAAAAAACAAAACCTTGGATTATATTCAGAGCCAGGAATGGCCAGAAGAAATTAAAGAATTGTTGCACCAGCTAGTGGCCGCTTGAGGAACAGACAATCTTAAGACTCCTTCCACTGATTTAGCTGTTTCAGTCGGCTCAAAAATGTTTAACTTTTTGTCCCCACAGCAAGTGACAGCAGATTTGCATGCTTTTTCTTTTAACTTCTGCAGTGATAAGCTAAAGGAAGGTGATGGAAATAGGTGATATCATTTCCTCTATGAGAACTTCTGTTGCTTTTATAGCCCCGTGTTTTCCTCATGCAGGGACATAAATATTAATACAATGAGTTTACTAAAGCAGATTTCTCCTAAAGGGACACTCCAGAACCCAAAGCACTTTAGCTTGCTGAAATGCCTTATGTGTCCTCTTTTTTTTATCACATGTAGATACAGGAGCATGGTTATCACAAATAATCATTTTGTGACAGCTGGCATGATTCAGCTGACGAGATAAAAATATATCCCCTCATGGGGGCGGGGCTTGACCGCCGAGCTGGATGGACGTGGGGCACCTCGGCTCCCCGAGGAATCCCCAAAAATCTGCCCAAAACAACCCCATCTCGCCTGAAAAACCTTCAGCAGTAATAAAGAGGCAAGGGGACCTGAGCAATAACCCCCGGTGCGGCTGTCGGCTCCCGTCTTGCGGCGACGCCGACTGATGGACGGGCGGGATTGTGGCCTGCCGTGAGGCCCTGGCGGGGGAAGCGGCCGATCCCCCGCGCTTGGTCCGGCGGGACCTCTCGCTCGCCTTCAGAGGGCCCCGTTCTCCCCCCCTGTGGGCCGGGGGGGTTATCCCGGACCCCACCGGGGAAATAGAGATCACCATCACCTATGATAACTGTGCAGGGGAAAATCTAACCTGAGACCGCATGGCACAAACCAAGATGGCTGCCGCGCCTTCTACAAGCCACAATATCTGAGCAATGGCTGGGCGCTGTCTGGAAACCGACGCTGATAAGTACACAGCGTACTGAAGGCGGCCAGCAGGCAACGGATAACCCTAAAAGGTACATACTCACCACGCAGGCTTAGCTCACTACCAAGGGCATAATCACAGCATCCAAAACAACACCTCCCATTGTCACCGGCAGGTCTGTGGGGACTATATAATGGACATGGGGCACAAGCGCTACTCCCAACCCAAGGCTGGAAACAGCGGACACACTCCTGACCGGCAGGTACCCAAGCATTTCACAGCGTGAAACACAAGGAAGCCAGCCGACCAAGCACAGCTGCAGGAATGACCAAGCGACTGCCAACCACATACACCTACAGTCGATTTTACAGCCCCCCACAGAAAGCACTTAAAATGACTAAGCTTACATATGTACCCAACTCGACAAGCCCGGCTCTCCGCTGTTCCCTGGGGGCTAAATCTAATGAGTATATAGAAAGCTGTAACTGATGTTATTTTGCATAGCCTGTAATCCAACATACTTAAACCATACTAATTTCTAGCTCCATGTTAATAGTGAGCATGTTCGCTAATCCCTTTCCGTTTGTTTAGCTTGTGTTTAACGGTTTACAGCGAAAACCTACTCAGCTAAGCTAGAAACAGATAATACTTAGATTCCAATTGTTATGTTTCAACGTCATGTCATCTAATAACAAAAATGTGCACGGAACCACTTAGACATGCCATTATTGCAGGTACTCACAGCGTGTATTAAGTAAATAGTAAACAGAATATGGTACCTGAATGTAATCTTATCTAGGAGCCTTTATTATCAGGAAATGCGCATTGTCTAGCAAATACTATAACTGTTATCCACCTATGGTCTAAGCTTGTTAATATAATATAAAATGAGGTTAATAATCCTAGGAGATTTCTGTAATCTGTTACAGTGACCCTAATCTGTACAACTCTTGCAAGTCTCCTTCTCTTTTTTCTGTACCACCATAATCACATGCCTCAATAAAATAAAGAATTCAAAAAAAAAAAAAATATATATATATCCCCTCATGCCTCAATCTTACAGTGCAGAGTGCTCACAGCTGTAATAGTATATATTTTATATATTTACTATATTAAATAAAATATAGATTTTCCTTACTGCTCCATCTGGTTTTCTCACTTGATCTGAGAATAGCAGGACAATCGCCCTATCATAATATATACATAATATTACATCTAGCATACATTTTGAGCACACTGATTGGCAAACTTTGCACCATATTTGCTTAGGTTTCTGAATTTACATTAGTTTGGGCCGAACTGACATCCAGCTGAAATTCGGGGGTCCTGAAATATTTTCTATCTTTGGGGAAAAAATTATTCTGGAAAAAACAAAAATTTTCACTGTGCACAAATCTATGACATTATTCTGGGTTTATTCTGTAAACATGAAAGTGTTTGAACACCAACAGCAAAATGGCAAAATTTAAACCAATCTAGTTGATTTAGAAAAATGTTCTTACTTGCTATAGTGCAGTATGCAATTTGATGTTCATTCACTAGAGTTCACGGTTTATTGAATAAATCCTTTAGTGTAGTCTGTCTCTTTAAAAAATAAAAATGCTGTGTTTACAAAAATAGGTGGTTTCCAGAAAGAGTTTACCAAAGAGTTTCCTATTAATCCTCTTTTTCTGTTGAGATCCTTCGGACTCAGCGTAACCCTGGCACAAGCACACTGGTGATCGCTAATCCTCCAATTCTAGTATATTAAAGGTCAGAGATTGGCTGAGATAGCTCGGCCAAACATCACGTGCTCAGCAGATGGATTAAATTTAGATTCCATAAAGATGGAAAATGCATTACATTATTTTTTAATTCATTATATTTCGACAGCCTATTAAACTGCTGTCCAAACAACAGTCACCCTTTAAGGTTAGTGTTTTCCCCTATAAAAGTGCCTTTCCCAGCTTGCCTTACTGTAATATACATATGTTTCCGGAGTCTTCGACAACTTCGAGTAAAACCACATAGTCTCTGCATTCATGCTAGTATATTTAGCTCTTTTTTTTATAACCGTTATTGCTATCAACCTAAAAAATCGCACACAGCACAAAAGTGTCATCCTTTATTTTTACCAAACTTCAAAACAAAAAACATCAAAAGAATAGATATACGCTTTAAAAAGAATAAATGTTACTTATCTGAAACCAGTTGATGCATTTCTTATCATACATTACCCAAAATATACATGTGGCATCAAGATAAGTCCTTGTTACTCTATATTAACCCTGTTTGTGGTTAAGTGCCTCAAAATGTGTATCTAACACCTGCTGCATACCAGTGGGATATTAAGAAATGGCTTCTTTTTGCCTCTGTAAGCACACATTTTGTAAAATAGGTGCATTAATGTATTAATTATTTTGGGGTGATAATCGCTAAATAGTGAGTTGTTTTGTGATCACAGTCACATTTTATAATTTAGCCAAATATAATCACTTTGGGAATATTTCAGCCATAATTACAATTACTCTCTGTTCTATTTTTTTGACTACCGTAAAATTTGTCTACTGGAGCATCGAGATTTACAAGAACGTGGGGTGTATTAAAAAACAATTCCAGTACGTAATACATGAATTCTTCTATATTGTGTAAGTAGAATAGATTAGATAAATAAAAAGACAATTATGAAGACCGGTCTTTAGATTTTATTTTCTGATTTAATAGTGATTTGGGATTTTCTTTGCAAAATATACTAAATGATTTCTGGATATATTTTTTTTTTACAGAACTATAATCAAATGTTATTTAAATGACAGTAATGTCAGTTACATAATTACATGGTTACATTGTAACCTAAGTTGACAAGACTCAAGCCCATTAAGTTCAACGTTTTTAACACTTCTTTTTATGTGGATGGCTGCTAAGGCATATCACCATCATTGTGATCGGCTACCAGGGCTACGAAACAGCCGGAGTGGCTAAGCAAGCTGTCACGTTTTTTGGTCGTTATAATGTTGTAATTTTGGATTGTAAAATCTCATTGGCCATCACTATCTATGTTAGTGATGCGGAAATCCTGGGTACAGCACAAATCACAAAGGGGTTAAATATGTTTTGTTTTTTATCTTACTTAAACAGTAAAGCATATGACCTTAACGGCTAGACGATCATGACAAGGGGATGTATCTAATCTCATTGTCCTCAAAAAATTATTTTTGATGAGGTTTGTTGCTACCCTCTCAATTTCGAGACCCATGATAATGTATTTAGAAAAGAAAGAAAATATAGCATATGTACATAGAAAATAAGATACATTTATTCCAGTAACAGGAAGTAAATGTGTAAATAATGGCGGTCTGTTAGAATGTTGTCTAACCAGATATCTGTTCCCATAACAGACAGAACCAGTTTGACAGTTTTCCTCCTGAACATAACTTAAAAGCAGAATGCTAGTCAACAGCGGAAAATACTTAAAGGGACACTATAGTCACCTGAACAACTTTAGCTTAAAGGACCACTCTAGGCACCCAGACCACTTCAGCTTAATGAAGTGGTCTGGGTGCCAGGTCCAGCTAGGGTTAACCCATTTTTTCATAAACATAGCAGTTTCAGAGAAACTGCTATGTTTATGAATGGGTTAAGCCTTCCCCTATTTCCTCTAGTGGCTGTCTCATTGACAGCCACTAGAGGCGCTTGCGTGCTTCTCACTGTGATTTTCACAGTGAGAGCACGCCAGCGTCCATAGGAAAGCATTGTAAATGCTTTCCTATGTGACCGGCTGAATGCGCGCGCAGCTCTTGCCGCGCGTGCGCATTCAGCCGGCGGGGCGTAACGGAGGCGGAGAGGAGGAGGAGAGCTCTCCGCCCAGCGCTGGAAAAAGGTAAGTTTTTACCCCTTTCCCCTTCCAGAGCCGGGCGGGAGGGGGTCCCTGAGGGTGGGGGCACCCTTAGGGCACTATAGTGCCAGGAAAACGAGTATGTTTTCCTGGCACTATAGTGGTCCTTTAATAAAGCAGTTTTAGTGTATAGATCATTCCCTTGCAATTTCACTGCTCAATTCACTGTTATTTAGGAGTTAAATCACATTGTTTCTGTTTATGCAGCCCTAGCCACACCTCCCCTGGCTATGACTGACAGAGCCTGCATGAAAAAAAAACTGGTTTCACTTTCAAACAGATGTAATTTACCTTAAATAATTGTATCTCAATCTCTAAATTGAACTTTAATCACATACAGGAGGCTCTTGCAGGGTCTAGCAAGCTATTAACATAGCAGGGGATAAAACAAATCTTAATTAATCAGAACTTGCAATAAAGAAAGCCTAAATAGGGCTCTCTTTACAGGAAGTGTTTATGGAAGGCTGTGCAAGTCACATGCAGGGAGGTGTGACTAGGGTTCATAAACAAAGGGATTTAACTCCTAAATGGCAGAGGATTGAGCAGTGAGGCTGCAGGGGCATGTTCTATACACCAAAACTGCTTCATTAAGCTAAAGTTGTTCAGATGACTATGGTGTCCCTTTAATCAGAATTATCACTGGGAATCCCAGGTTCGAATCCTGGTGATATTACCCTACCAGTAAGTCTTCTTGGGCAAGACAACCTAACAATATATATCTGCCTACCTCAAATCCTCAGATTCTATGCTCTACATATCCCCTTTCTATATTTGTAAAGCACTGGGGTATATGTTGGCACTATTTAAAATGCCAATAATTATAAAAGGTACAAAAGAAAACTAAAACAACAGAGAATATGGCATAATGTAATCTGAAAAATTGTTAGTAGATGTGTAACCAGTGACTTAAAATGTGCATAAATTATATCCCAAGAAGTGAAGTTATCCAATCAGAATGTTGATGTTGAAAGTTTTTTTTTTTTAAATGCTTATCATTGTGCAACACTGTAATGTCATACAGGTAAGTATAGCATTGTTAAAGCGTTGTTCATAATGGTGCTAGTTTATATGTCCATGGGAGGAGTATGGTGTATTTAGGGCCATGATCAATGGGTATATAGGATTAGGACAAAATTAGTTAAGAAGGTAAGTTAAAATAAATAAATATATACATACAGGGCCGGCGCTTCCATTACTTAGACGGGCATCTGTGGCAAACCTGCGGCTGTAATGGTGTCTTGGTCTGTTTGGGCGACTGGGCCACCCAGGCAGAAACAGTAATGGATAATAAAACAGACCAAGTGGGCAAAGACATGGTAAAAATCAGGAAGGCAGCCAGTTGCCAGCGGCCACGGCGCAGCCATTACTCACACTGATTGCCTCTGATCCCCATTCTATTAGGTAGCGTGTGGGTGCAGTGTCCATGCTCTCTTACCCCCGGCCCTGTGTGTGGGGACATACATTAGAGAGAGCTCAATAAAAGAAGTGGGGCAGGGCAGCAAAAAACCTAGAGCATCTGTCCTAGTAGGCCCTTCACTGCAAGCGGGGTTTTTTTGCTCTAAATAAACTTTATCAGGTATAAAAACGTGTGCAGAGACAAATCACGTCACGTGGCGCCATCTTGGATTTGTCTCTGCACACGTTTTTTTATACCTGATACAGTTTATTTAGAGCAAAAAAAAAATCTTGTTTTTCATATATTTAACTTATATACACTTCCTACAACCATTACCTTTTATATTATTAATTATTTTACTATTTTAATACATTTGTATGCTAATTAGTTTGGTCACGTGACTGTGATGTCACAAAAAAGTTATTTTTTCATTTTAGCATCCTACTTAAGCGGCTATGGTCCCAAGCAACCTGTAATATACTTTTAGAACGCCTATGTTTAGGTGAAACACGTTAAATGTTCCAAATATATTGTTTTATCTATTTTTTACCTTGTTATTTGCTTTTATTGTTTTTGTAACATTAAAGTACAGTGGTACCTCAGTTTACGAATTTAATGCGTTCTCCGGGACGTTTCTTAATGCGCAACATTTATAAACCGAAATGCGGTTTCCCATAGGAATGTATTGAAAACTAATTAATCCGTTCTGGAGGTCAGAAAAAAAGTCATAATGAGCTGGAATGAAAACCAACCCACAATGCAGAACACACAGTAAAAGCCATGCAAACTACGAAGCTTAGCTCCCTACCTTTCCACTGCTTGAGAAATGCACCAAAAAAGTTCCAAAAAGTCCCCAAACTACTGCAAACAATTTCCAGAATGGCTCCAAAACTCAATGCAAAAGACGCTCCAACACCTCCACACTCGACGCCACGTGCTACCCACAGACTCCAGCATGCACGGGGCAGCGCCATAAACCTCCCAGGTGCAATGCTTCCTGGGGAAACTTGCTTTGTATTGTGAAAACAATTTGTAAACCGGGGCATTATTTTCACTGGATTTTCATTTGCAAAGCGAAAATTCTGTTAACCGAAGGGTTTGTAAACCGAGGTATCACTGTACATTTTTATTGGACCTTCTTCTTCTGCTGCTGATGGATCTTTGGGCTACATTCTTGGTAGGGATAATACCACCTAAGCGTATTGGATTGAGCAAACAGTACTTTGCTCTTTAGCACGTGAGTAGTTTTTTTTAAATCTTTTATTGTATTTTCCACTCCATATTTACAGTGTACACTATTGTGGTTTTATTTGTTATTTTCCACATATATATCTACAGATAAATATTGACTACACTCATATCCTTGAGTGGGGATCATACCACTTCATACGCTAATTTTGAGCCATATTCACGGCTCCATTAAATGTGAGTGCTCACTTTATATTCATACCTACCTCTGCTCCATAGCCCAAATATACTAACTATATTATGGGTTTTAATCTGTTTTTATGAGGATACCTTCTACAATCACGAATATACGAAGAATCAGCACTGCACTTTATTCTTAGACTGGGATCATTCCACACAGGCACAAAAGTTGGAGCTGTATTGAAGCTCCAAAAAAAGTGTGAGTGCACATTTTTCTCATATTTATATTTATTATATTTTTACATACTACACTATCAGTTTCTTCTGGGTTTTTTTATACTCCCATATAAGGACTATTTAGGCACTGCACCTACCTCCTGTTTTTAACAAACATAATTCTGTCCATGCTAAACTAGGGTTTATTCTCTAAAAAGCATGTGGTGAGTGCCAGTGAATGTATGCATGCCAGTGAGATTGTGTGTGTGTCAGTAAGCTTGTGTATAATGAGCATGTGTGTGTATGTGGGCATCAGTGAGCTTGTCTCTAGGTTTTATGTGAAGACATAGTCACAAACAGATACCCCATTTATGGGGAAACAAGCCTGGATTTTCTAAGCAACTTGTGAGTTTTCTACCACCCGGTGATCCTTCACTTTATGTTTTGACTTTTGTTACAGATATTTCATGTTAGTACCCACTCTGTTCAATATTCATCTACTCCAATGTTCATGCAGATTACATTTATATTTGTTTTACTTCAAGGGACACTATAGTCACCCAGACCACTTCAGCTCAATGAAGTGGCCTGGGTGCCAAGTCCCCCAGGCTTTAACCCTTCAGATGTAAACATAGCAGTTTCAGAGAAACTGCTATGTTTACATTGCAGGGTTAATCCGGCCTCTAGTGGCTGTCTTCTTGAAAGCCGCTAGAGGCGCTTCTGCGACGCTGGATGCGAAAATCACATTCAGAACGTCCATAGGAAAGCATTGATAAAAGGTCACCAGCGCTGAGGGAGCCCAGCGCTGGATAAAGGTAAGTGGCTGAAAGGGTTTTAACACCTACAGCCCAGTGGGATGGGGACCCTGAGGGTGGGGCGTCCTAAGGGTTATATAGTGAAAACGAGTTTGTGTTCCTGACACCATAGTGATCCTTTAACAATACGGGTGTATACAGTGTGTATTAGTTTTTCCTTAGCTCCCAAAATCCATTATATCTTGCGTACGATTCCAGTATTTTACTCTCATGGTTATTTTTGCAAATTAATTCCAAATGACAAAACTAAGGCAAAAATTGTCCAGCAGTGACAATAGTTGATTTGGAAGAATTTTTTCCGATCAGCTATTTTCACCTCAGTTTTAACATTCTGAACGAATTCACAAAACTTCCTAACTTGGTGACCCACCTTGTATGTGTTTCCCCCGGAAAAAGGAAGACGGGCAGTCTTCCAACAGCATATTGCCATAATGGCAAGTAAAACAAGTCTCACTGTATACTTCATCATAAAACACTTTCTAAGTATATGCACTCATACAGGAAATGTAAATTATAGGCCTGTCTCACAGGAGAGTGTGATAAGGAAGCCTTCCTTGAACAGTGTCTCTTTAAAGTGTTAATTGTCTGCAGACGGCAATAAATGAGCAAATGAAGGGGGTTGTGGAAGGCTCCTATAAAATGGAGGTGTGATAGAAAGTACACGGAGTAATACATTACACATTCTTTGTCACTTTGTAGGCCACACAGTTCTGTGATAAGTATTTGCACTAATGTGTAACTCTCATAAACAGACCAGGATATATCTCTGAGCAGACAAAGCTATTTTAGCAGCTTAGCAGTATACCATTAATGCAGAGGTTCTTACCATTATTCAGATTGTCAAAAAGCAGTGTAAAAATGAAAAATATAATATGAAGGAGGTTCTTACCCCTTGGATGTATTTATTTTGTTCGCTTGTAAATTTATTGTTACTTTGAAGCAATGAAAATATATGTAGAGTTATAACATTCAAATTATTATTATTGGATAAATAATACATTTACTTAGTGCGAGAAACTAAAATGAAGAGATAATGGGGCCTATTCACTAAAGTGAAAATTTAGGAGAATGGCGTGCGCAGCCCATCATGATGCGTACCCACTGAGGTTGTTTATAGAACAATAGAATTTCTTCAATATTTAATCATAAAAACTGCTGTCTTTAATAATTACAAAAATTAAACATGCTTCCCCCTCACCCCGAATACTAGTACCGTATATATTTTTTACTTAACAGTGCAGACAGGGATTTAATTGTGGTTTAATGGAAAATTGTCTCTCAATTTGGGTGTGCCTGGGGACACCTGGATACCTGACACACCCCTTGCGCTCACCTATGACGAAATAATTGTATATTTTAGTTAAAAATGGCCAAACAAAATTATGCATCAAATTTGAAATTTTCTCTTCAATTCTTCACTGTGCTATGGTACATGTTTAAACAAGTATAGAGTTTTAATCGATGAGTGTTGAAATATTGTGAAATGAAAATTGCAAAATGTAACCTAAAATAGCTGAGATGGAAAACATTTCCATTTCAGCATTTTTGCCTACATTTTCCAACTCAGTTTTTAATTTGTATTCTGAATAAACCCAACAAATATTACTAAGGAAAGTGAACAGAATACAAAAATCTATACCTTTACATTTACGGGTTTAATTGACAGTTTCAGTGAATAAACTCCTGAGAAATTAATGGAACGCTCAAAGCACCATAACCACTACAGACCACTGCAGTGGTTATGATGCCTGAATTGCCTTGGCAGGCTCCCAGAGTAAGTAGTCAAACCATTTGAAAACAGTTTGCCAACATGCCTGCGTCCCACTGAGCTTACCACATGTGGGGATGTGGGTGCTCAGCAGGATCCAGGTAAGTTGTTATACAAATTTTTCATAGTGAAAAGAAAAGGCAGGGAGCGATGCTTAGTGGTCCACAGGTAAAACGTTAAAATATTATGAAACGGTTAGATTACTTACATTGGTTATGTGTGCTCAGCTACTCCTGGCACCATAACAACTACAGTACCATAATCCAGAGATGGACAGTCTCTGCCGGGAATCCACTCCTCTTCTGAGATAGTCCTGATGGATGATCTTTAACCCGTCCATCCAGCATTAGAGACCTACTGGACATGCATGGAAATCGCTGCACTAAATCATTTGAAAGCTTCTCAAAGAGAAGCAGTGAATTCATGGTTTCTCAGTGAGAATCATTCACAGTTTTCAGCTTCATCATGATGTGTGATGATGCTTAATCTGAAATCTTTAAGCAATTTTGAGTCTTCAATAAGAAGTGGTGGTCTGATTGACAGCTACTAGTGGTATGGTGATTGACAAATGTAAACATTGCTATTTTCCAGAAATGTCAGTGTTTACAGTTGTCAGATTGTAGAGACATGGAATATGCACCATAACCACTACATTAAGATCGCATGGTTTTTAGTGCTTAGAGTCCCATTTAATCATAGAACTGTGTTTAATTGATATACCGACTTTCAAAATTTATTTTACAGTAGCTCAGGCATGTGGTGCAAGGGTCAGCTGTGGACAGTGATGTTCGCATCACTGGTAATGCGATAGGAGTGGAATTGACCCAATTAGGCAGATTGCTAGCCAAGTGTGACTGCATGCACTGGCCATTGCACTGACCAGTCTTACCCAGACTTTCTTTGTATACGCAGGGTGATGTTAAAGCACTCTGTTTTGGGGTTTAATACCCCCAGCACAATTTGCACAGTGTGAACAAATCTAATAAGATGTAGAACACCAGAGACCAAAAGTGGAACGCCGGGACAGAACCCTGAATTTAGTACTATCCTGCACAAAGTGGGACAGTAGGGGGAAATTGGAAAATAGTTTGATAGGCTGAGAAATCTGATGAGCTCAATGAAGTGGTTTGGGTGCCAGGTCCCTCAGGTTTTAACCCTTTAGATGCAAACATAGAGGTTTCAGACAAATTGCTATGCTTACATTTGGGGTTAATCCAGCCTCTAGTGGCTGTCTTCCAGACAGCCACTAGAGGTGCATCTGCAACGCTGGATGCGAATTTCGCATCCATTGCGCAGAGCGTCCATAGGAAAGCATTGAGAAATGCTTTCCTATCGACAGCTTGAATGCGCATGCGGCACTTGCGTCTGACGGGGCAGCTGATGTTGGTGGGGGAGGAGAGGTCACCAGCGCCGGGTAAGCTGCTGAAGGGGTTTTAACCATGGGAGGGGGACCCTAAGGGTGGGGGCACCCTCAGGGCACTATAGTGTCAGGAAAACCACTTTTTTCCTGACACTATAGTGATCCTTTAAATATAAAGAAGTAAAAAAGAAGAAATAAAGTATGTTCAAAATTATACATTTGCTTTTTTTCTTAGCTTTACTTTAACTACGCCAAAAACCTTCTTCCAGGCATGCTCCTCAAATCACACACTCAACTGGTTGCTGTGTTGCAGTAAATGTTGCCATGGGAAAAGATACATTGCTAGACACCCAAGCATTCTCTCTAGGTAACTGTCATCCCTTTATGTTACCTATTAAGTCACAAAAACATTACTGTAATCTGTATGAAAGGATCACTAAATCTCTAAGAATACAAACCTGGATTCCTAACACCATAGTGGCCCTGTACCTATCTCGTTTAGTGCCGACCCCTCCACTGCCCCCATTCACAAGAAAATAAGGTTTTACTCTTCATCAAGGAGGTATAGCTTTTCCGGCAATGGACCATTTTTATCCTAGTCATAGAAAAGCATTGAGGATCTAATGCGCGTGTGCCGCGATTGCCACTCACATCCAAGATGCCTCACATTAAAGCATTGAATCGAATATTTTCCTATGAGTTTCATTTGATGATGTTCAATGTTAAATGTCATGTGACTTTGACAGAGTCATTAAAGATGTGTTTAACCCTTCACGTTTCCTTAAAGGGATAATGTTTTAATTTGAATGGCTAACATGACAGGACCTCTGCACCCAGGCCACATTATTGAGATGACATGGCCAGGGTGACTTTAGTGGTCCTTTAAATCTGCAATCAATGTAAAGCGCAAAATAACTGCCTATTACTGTCTCTACGTACAAAATGAAAATAGTTATTTACACGTGTGTGTGCTGTAAACAGACTTCGTTCTGATGCGATACATTAGCAGAACAATAAACCGTTGTGTTCATGTACATGTCACACAAAGTGAGGCATACTATGAGTTATTTCAGTATCAGACCGGGTATTTGGCAGCGTAGTATCCACGTCTAGTGAAACTATAAATATTTTACGCAAAATGTTTTTCTAGGACCGTGCTAAAATAAATATTAATTTCAGGTCAAATAGCCAAACTGCAAACAGAGCTGGTTAGGTAATATATCCAAAACGACTAATTTGGTGTAAAATTTTAAATACACTAAATTGATTGTCACAGGGTTATTTACCAAAGCGAGAATTTAAAACGTAAGGCTAAAGTAGCTGAACTGAAAGCATAGCTGCCTTGGGGTAGCACCTCCAGTTCGGCTGTTTTGGCCTTAAAGGAGCACTATAGTGCCAGGAAAACAAACCCCTTTTCCTGGCACTATAAGGTTATTAGGTGCCCCCCTCCTGCTTCAGCCACTTACCTTAATCCAGCTGGTGACCTCTCCTCCCCCTGCCAATGTCAGCTCCGAATGCGCATGCGCGGCCAGAGCCACGCGCGCATTCAAGCCGCCCATAGGAAAGCATTACTCAATGCTTTCCTATGGGTGTCCATCGTCTTCTCACTGTGATTTTCACAGTGAGAATCGCAGAAGCGCCTCTAGCGGCTGTCAGGTAGACAGCCACTAGAGGCTGGATTAACCCTCAATGTAAACATAGCAGTTTCTCTGAAACATAGCAGTTTCTCTTTAAAGGACCACTATAGGCACCCAGACCACTACAGCTTAATGACGTGGTCAGGGTGCCTGGTCCAGCTAGGTTTAACCCTTTTTTCTATAAACATAGCAGTTTCAGAGAAACTGCTATGTTTATATTAAGGTTAATCCAGCCTCTCGTGGCAGTCTCGTTGACAGCCGCTAGAGGCGCTTCCGCGCTTCTCACTGTGAAAATCACAGTGAGAAGACGCCAGCGTCCATAGGAAAGCATTGTGAAGGCTTTCCTATGAGACTGGCTGAATGCGCGCGTGGCTCTTCCGCGCATGGTCCTTTAAGCTGCAGCGGTCTGGGTGCCCATAGTGATCCTTTAATGAAGCGGTCTGGGTGCCTATAATGGTCCTTTAAGCTGCAGCGGTCTGGGTGCCTCTAGTGATCCTTTAATGAAGCGGTCTGGGTGCCCATGGTGATCCTGTAATGAAGCGGTCTGGGTGCCCATGGTGATCCTGTAATAAAGCGGTGTGGGTGTCCATGGTGATCCTATAATAAAGCGGTGTGGGTGCCCATGGTGATCCTGTAATAAAGCGGTGTGGGTGCCCATGGTGATCCTGTAATAAAGCGGTGTGGGTGCCCATGGTGATCCTGTAATAAAGCGGTGTGGGTGCCCATGGTGATCCTGTAATAAAGCGGTGTGGGTGCCCATGGTGATCCTGTAATAAAGCGGTGTGGGTGCCCGTGGTGATCCTGTAATAAAGCGGTGTGGGTGCCGTGGTGATCCTGTAATAAAGCGGTGTGGGTGCCCGTGGTGATCCTGTAATAAAGCGGTGTGGGTGCCCATGGTGATCCTGTAATAAAGCGGTGTGGGTGCCCATGGTGATCCGGTCTGGGTAATCCTGTAATAAAGCGGTGTGGGTGCCCATGGTGATGCTGTAATAAAGCGGTCTGGGTGCCATGGTGATCCTGTAATAAAGCGGTGTGGGTGCCCATGGTGATGCTGTAATAAAGCGGTGTGGGTGCCCGTGGTGATCCTGTAATAAAGCGGTGTGGGTGCCCGTGGTGATCCTGTAATAAAGCGGTGTGGGTGCCCGTGGTGATCCTGTAATAAAGCGGTGTGGGTGTCCGTGGTGATCCTGTAATAAAGCGGTGTGGGTGCCCGTGGTGATCCTGTAATAAAGCGGTGTGGGTGCCCATGGTGATGCTGTAATAAAGCGGTGTGGGTGCCCATGGTGATGCTGTAATAAAGCGGTCTGGGTGTCCATGGTGATCCTGTAACAAAGCGGTCTGGGTGCCCATGGTGATGCTGTAATAAAGCGGTCTGGGTGTCCATGGTGATCCTGTAATAAAGCGGTGTGGGTGCCCATGGTGATGCTGTAATAAAGCGGTGTGGGTGCCCGTGGTGATCCTGTAATAAAGCGGTGTGGGTGCCCGTGGTGATCCTGTAATAAAGCGGTGTGGGTGCCCGTGGTGATCCTGTAATAAAGCGGTGTGGGTGCCCGTGGTGATCCTGTAATAAAGCGGTGTGGGTGCCCATGGTGATCCTGTAATAAAGCGGTGTGGGTGCCCATGGTGATCCTGTAATAAAGCGGTGTGGGTGCCCATGGTGATCCTGTAATAAAGCGGTGTGGGTGCCCATGGTGATCCTGTAATAAAGCGGTCTGGGTGCCCATGGTGATCCTGTAATAAAGCGGTGTGGGTGCCCTTGGTGATGCTGTAATAAAGCGGTGTGGGTGCCCGTGGTGATCCTGTAATAAAGCGGTGTGGGTGCCCGTGGTGATCCTGTAATAAAGCGGTGTGGGTGCCCGTGGTGATCCTGTAATAAAGCGGTGTGGGTGCCCATGGTGATCCTGTAATAAAGCGGTGTGGGTGCCCATGGTGATCCTGTAATAAAGCGGTGTGGGTGCCCATGGTGATCCTGTAATAAAGCGGTGTGGGTGCCCATGGTGATCCTGTAATAAAGCGGTGTGGGTGCCCATGGTGATCCTGTAATAAAGCGGTGTGGGTGCCCGTGGTGATCCTGTAATAAAGCGGTGTGGGTGCCCATGGCGTCCTGTAATAAGGTGTGGGTGCCCATGTTACGATCCTGTAATAAGCGGTCTGGGTGCCTTGGTGATCCTAATAAGCGGTGTGGGTGCCCTTGATGCTGTAATAAGCGGTGTGGGTGCCGTGGTGATCTAATAGCGGTGTGGGTTGCCCATTGATCCTGTAATAAAGGTGTGGGTGCCGGTGGTGATCCTGTAGTAATAAGCGGTGCGTGGAGTTGCCCATGGTGATCCTGTAATAAGCGGTGTGGGTGCCCATGGTGATCCTGTAATAAAGCGGTGTGGGTGCCCATGGTGATCCTGTAATAAAGCGGTGTGGGTGCCCATGGTGATCCTGTAATAAAGCGGTGTGGGTGCCCGTGGTGATCCTGTAATAAAGCGGTGTGGGTGCCCGTGGTGATCCTGTAATAAAGCGGTGTGGGTGCCCGTGGTGATCCTGTAATAAAGCGGTGTGGGTGCCCATGGTGATCCTGTAATAAAGCGGTGTGGGTGCCCATGGTGATCCTGTAATAAAGCGGTGTGGGTGCCCATGGTGATCCTGTAATAAAGCGGTCTGGGTGTCCATGGTGTAATATTGATATTCTCATTGAATTAGAGCCAGGGCTATTCTTACTTCCTGTAAATCAGGGCCTGAGCCTGGCCCCGCCCCCCGCTGACGTCACGCGGCCCGGATTGGGTGGGCGGAGTCAGGCTTGTTGTTGGTGCGTCACAGGCAGCTGAGAGCGGTATAGAGAGAGCGAGCGGTGTACCGGGAGCAGAGCGCGGTATAACAGACCGACCATGGTGAAGATCGCATTCAGTTCGCCGTTCGCGGCCAAGCAGCCCAGTAAGGACGCCGAGGCCCTGGTACTGGACAAGGTGAGCCGGGACTGGGAGCACGGGGCCTAGCCAGCCGGGTACCCCCACACCGAGCACCCCCAGCCAGCCAGCCTACCGCCACACCGAGCACCCCCAGCCAGCCAGCCTACCGCCACACCGAGCACCCCCAGCCAGCCTACCCCCACACCGAGCACAGCCAGCCAGCCGGGTA